AGAACCTTGACTTGAAGCAGGTGAAAGTTAACACAGACCCAGAAGCAGTCAAATGCCTGAGCATAAGAGATTGTTCGGTTCCTAGCCCTAACTGGAACCTCTGCACGTCCTCTTTCGAGAGCCAGGCAACACATCCGAGAAGGAAGCATTGGTGTCTGGAAAGTCTCTAAGAGCCAGAAGACAGAGAGAGATGCTATGAAACGGGCCTCTCGATATGGCATCGTTATTACAACCATGAATGCACCCAGCTATGGATTCCTGCATGCGATCCGCACAACACTTAGTCCTTCGGCTTTTCATCCTGGATGGGGGAGGGTTGTAAAGACCCTCACTTTCTATGTAGTTATTGGCCCTTACCTGTGATGGGGCAGGATGTTGTTTTCTGCGCTGCTGTAGCCACTGCCCCATACTCCAATAACAACTTTCTCTCAACGGCCATACGAGCATTCCTAATTAATCTCGTTATGTCTAAAGACAAGAAAAAGACATGAAGGTAGGAGGAAACTAGCTGGCAAGCAGCAGCCAGGAGGCGTAGGGAGGTGATTCTAGAGGGTAATCACAAAACATTGAATATATATATGCAATGGTCCAAAAATAAAACTGCATCTTCAAAGCTCTGACATTATCACTCATGTCCCCACTTCAGCAAAGGGAAGAGTGAGGAGGCATTCAGGAGGCCCACTCCAGTCCTTCTCATCCAGGAGCGACTAAATGATGTTCAAAGACCCATTGGCCACCACAGCTGGAAGTGGAGTGGTTGGGAGGGGAGCGCAGGGTGGGGCGTTACTGGCCTCTACTGCATGGACGAGAACAGTGCAGTTTGACAGCTCATATATCCAGAAAAATCCCCCATATTAAATAATTACCCTTCCACAATACCAGATACAATCTCCCACGGTGCCATACACAGGGACATAGTAATATAATTACGGTGGCAAGTTAAAGGACGGGAATCAACCCACTTCTTCATGGGCTTTAAGCAATATGGTCTAAGAATTCATGGATGCTACATCGAAACTTTCCTTGAATTAGTTGATACGATAAAGTATGAGAAATAACACTTGAGCTTAACTAACCAGCAGTCAGAGGGCCACTGACAGAGAGGGGAGAATTGGTCACTTGAAGTAGAACATCCATGTATTCCCATGATGATCCTAGATTACTGACGTCGCCTACTTTTGACACTTCCTGCTGTAACGCTGTTCCGTAGGCAAGCATGAGGCTAAGTGTAGTTTGGCTGGTCGTTTCTTCTTTAGACTCATCTCTTGGGTTCCTCCAAACCTTCACAGGTCAGTTGACCTGTGCTCTCATAATTAGAACAGGAGAAATGCTCATTTTTATGCTATGGCTCAGAATAAACTACTGTTTTCTCTTATTCCTTTCCTCAACAACACACACCTTTGAGTTTCTGGTCCTGAAGGAACACTAACCCAGTCCTGTGTTTCCTTCTCAATCAGCTAAAAGGTTTGAGTCACTTCGTGTGGAAACTTTATTCTTGTGTTTTGATGATTATGAGAAGAAACCCACAGGAAATCCATAACCAATGAATACCAGAAAGCTTTGTTTATTTTTTTAAACTGGAAGCAAACATAGAAGGTAAATTATAGTAGAAATATGTTTTAGCAAAAAAAAAAAAAAAAAAAAAAAAAAAGGAAGAATCCCTTATGGTCAAGTATGGTCTAGAACATGGTAGGCTTTGTGCTACGAATGTTCCTAGTCATTTGGTAGTGTCGGGTCTAAAGCGATAGCTTTCCTCTTACTGATGCTGGGGACAACCGCTGAAGGATGACTGGGAGAAGAAGGGATCTGATTGCTTCTGGATTTTGCTTTCCCTGGCAGCCTGTTCAGTAAATGACAGCTTGTTCCCTTTTTGATGGTTTCTTGGTCTGTCTGCCCCAAACCATTGGGTTCTGCAGCATTGGGTTCCTCAAAGGCACCGGCAGCAGGAGGGCAGTCTCCCTGCCACAGGCTAGACACCACACACCTCTGAGAGGTGTCTCTTTGCATGTCCAGAACCCTGCTGTTCTTCAGTCCACGGCTCTAAAGTGTGAGCATTCTCTTACAGTGTTCTTCCTATACGCACCTGTCATTGATTTCAGTTCTAAACCATCTTTTTAAAACAATTCCTTGGGGTTGGAAAGATGGCTCATCAGTTGAAAGGACTTATTGTTCCTGGAAAAGGCCTGAGTTCAGCTCCCAGGACTCACTTCATGGCTCACACCTGCTTATAACTCTCTTCCAAAGAGATCCAGCATTGTATCTGGACTCCAGGGCCTCCTGCATGTGTATGGTTCACATAAACCTGTCTACACACACACACAACACACATACACGCGCACACACACACACATTTTTAAACCAGTTCTTTACCTTGAATTCTCTCTGTTAAAATGATTGACAACCTTGTTTTGCTAATTAGCTTTTGCCTGTGAAATCTTTACCTGATTATGTCAACCTTAAACATGAACGGATTTAAGTCCATAGAGTTTATTAACATATCTGCTATTTCAGGGCAACCAGAAATCAAAACTAGAATGTGGATCCAGATCTATAAGCATAAAGTTGATAACATTTCTGGAGGAATCAGAGCTAGAGACAGACACCTATAAGGAGTGTGTGCTTTTATATTTTAATATGTAATTAAGGAGAAAGTTTTAAGAATTTTGATCATCTCCCTCTTCCTTTCCTCTAACCATTCCCTGTCTGCCTATTAATATAGTGATCCTATTTTTGCCTCCTTCCATATCACAATTACTATGACAGGTGGTACTATGACAATAATAATAATAAGAGAAACTACCTCTGAGCAGGGAGTCTAGGTCCTCTCCATGCATAGTCCTTGGTTAGGGCATCAGTCTCTGCAGAACCACCTGGACTCAGATTTTCTAGCTTTGTTGGTCTCCTTGCGGGTCTTCTGTCCCCTCTGTGTCCTACTATTCCTCCCCCATTCTTCCATAAGAATCCCTGCACTCTGCCCAAAGTTTGCTTGTGATTCTCAGCATCTGTTTCAATCCCCTATTGGGAGGGGCCTTCCGGAGGACCTTTTATAGTAGGTGCCGATCCTGTTCCTTCTCTTCCACTACTTCTGGTGTTTGTTTGCCATTCTGAATGAGATTTAAGCATCCTCAGTCTCCATATGGGTTTCCAAGTTAGGGGGGCAGGGGCTGCCTCTATCATGAACTCAGTTGCCTGCTCTTTGATCACTTGCTCCTAGCGACCCAGCCTTGCCAGGCCACAGAGGAAAAGGATCCAGGCAGTATTGATGAGACTTAATAAGCTATGGGCAGATGGCAGAGGAAAAGAACTCCCCCTTTCAGTGGACTAGGAGAAGGGGATGGGGAGAAGAGGGAAGGAGGGTGAGTCTGGGAGGAGTTGAGGGAGGGGGCTACAATTGGGATACATAATAAATAAAGTGTAAAAAAAAAAGGCTATGAATATCCAAGAATAAAAGATGATTGCACATTGAAAATACTGAGAAATTTATGGGACTGTTAGGGTAGTTGAACAAGAAGGATCAAGACAATAACAGGAAAAAATAAACAGAAGTCTCCAGTGGGACCAGAACAGATTAATTGAGGTTCTTATAAATAGCAGTTAGATTATTCAAATCCCTTTCCTACATTTTACAGCTCAGTGCTTACTTGTACCAACAAACCAGCAGATAAGGTAAAAGAACAGCCAGAGTTTGGTAAAGCTCCCATCAATGGTGGCCTTCCTGAGACTGTGACGTGAGTGGAAGGGTGGAAAGAAATCTGGACGTGCATGGGTAGAATGGTGGAAAGTCTTAAGATACGGTGATAGCTCGTGAAGACACAGAATCAGCCAGTCTTCTGGAATGGTCTTTCACTCATTCTGCATATATTTTGCATTTCTGAGCTACATGGGTAGGATGCATTGTGAGATTTTTCTACAGGACGGAAGGAAATAAGAAAAACCAGCTAACTGAGGGATGAAAACAGAAAGCTGCCTGCAACGTTTTTCTACCGTTGCTCAGTTATCTTGAACAACAACATCATCTAAAAAACAAACAAACAAACAAAAATTCACACTATACAGAGAACAAATGTGTGGCCCATGGTCAGACATAGCCTCCAAAGTCCTCGCCAGCCTTGTGAAGCAGTAACTTTCCTTTGAAAATAACTCTTACTGGAACCTTCTGGAAAGACGGAGAAACCCCACAGTGCTATAAGGGGGCAGGAATGTTCTCTAGATGCAGTAGATACTCCCTAGGCCCCTTCTAATTTGGGGTACCACTCCGATCTGTATCGGCATTTGACATCCCAGTAAAGTACTTGCCTCCTGGTATCACCAAACCACATCTGTGAAACTGAAATGAAATTGAAAAACATATTTTCTGTATTTTCAAAAGGAGTACTATAAGGCACCATAGGAACTCCTATTCTTGCCCATAGGTTGAGAGTCTCCGATGAAGTGAAACAGCACTGATAAAATAATTCCTGACTGGGGGAAAGCCTTCAGTAGTTGGTACTGAACATTCAGGGCTCCTTCAAATCCATTCTCCTAAACTCATGTGGCAAACTAAAACCGCTGTCACTCGGGGGTCTCTTTGGCCATCCGTTAATACCACAGCGACCTTGGGAGAGCTGCCTTTCTGGATGGGCTGCACAGCCATTTATCAAAGGGGGTTTAGTTCTTCAAAAAATGATGATCAAATACAGATCCTAGAGGCACCAGAACTGGATTCAAACAAAAGCGATTGAAAGGGTTTAAGCCCACGTTCACTTGTATTTTCGAGAAAACTTCTCACACACCCCCTTATGCCCTGACTCATTAATCTCCAATTCCCATCCTTCTCATGTCGCTGTGAATGGGAACACTGATAGTGGCTGAAGAGCTACACTAGAACAAGGGAGACCCGCCGAGGGGGGCGCGGGCGTGGCTGGTGGCACGCTTCGCCTAAGTGTGAAGAGCAGCTGACCTTTTTTTTTTCTTTTCTTAAAAATTTATTTATTTATTTTATTAATTACATTTATTCATTTCGTAGGACCTCCCCTATCAGTGGGCTGGGGGAGGGGATCTGGGAGAAGAAGAGGCAGGGGAAGGGGGAGGGGACGCAGGAGGGGGCTAAGGCTGGGATATGGGCCGGGAGTAAGGCTACACTGTGCCGACTAACTGGCACCAAGATATAACAACTCCTTTCTAAAAACGGCCTTGAGCCACGTCTAAGAAAGTATCCCTTCCCCTTCCATCACTTCACTTGGTTTGCTGTTTTGTGTGCAGCCTAGGGATCCCACTTTCATGTTTGTTCCCCAACAAAGGGATTTCGTAAGGCTTGGTTATCTCGCTCAGTGTCTTGCTCAGTTTCTTCTGTCTTTGCTTCATAATTTTGATGAAGCGGATTTTCTCGTTTTCCTCGTCATCTCTCTGTTTCTGGTCCTTGATCTCTGCTTCTGCCCGCATTCGCCACTCCATATCTCTTTGCCACTGCGACAGAAATAATTATTCATTTGCATATTGTTTTCCATGAACAATTACATGTCAAGATAGCTTTTCAAATGCACACCGCTCGATGCCACTCCTCTTACTGTGTGCAGAGGTGCCCCTCAGCTGTCTTACGCTCTAGCATATTTGAAGAATGCACAGACACCCCACAGAAACTGAACTTCATCTTAAAAGAAGGATTTGTTTCTACAGCGCAGGGTATTTTGTCTTGCTCAATACTGATATTTCCATGACAGCGTACATAATAAAATGAAAGATAGAGCCGAAGCAAAACAAACAAACAGAAAAAGAGCACAGAGAATTCATATTAAAGGGTGCAATCTTGTATTATCCCTAATAAGGCTGAATTATCCCCTAAGAATGGTTCATTTCCAATTATCCCCTGAAATGGTTCATTTCACAAGTAACAGTCATGCCACTCGTGGCTGTTGCAGACCAGTGTGTGTGGGGTGGTGAGAGCTAGAACCGCGTCATCAGTGTTGGAGCTAACGATGAGAAAGGACAAAATGCTAATGCCCTCTCCTCACATGGTTGGCGGAGGGGGTGGCTACCGGGAGCAGTGAGCCCTGGACCATTCAGCGTGGACTCGCCCCAGGCTTGATGTGCTGGGGACCCCTGAGTCCTGCCTGTGACAGTCTTTCTTCACCCTCAGTTCAACACCCACCGCAGGCCGCTGGGCCTCACTGACAAGGATACAATTGTGCAGGATGTTGAAGTACTCACAGGAGTAAACATTAAAACTAACACATCAGCTATCACAAACGCTTATACTAGACGGCCTGTTTACATTTTACTGATACAAGAAATAAGGTACTACGGTGTTTGAGATGTTATTGGAACATCGTTATTACATATTCGGTTTCTCAGGAAATAATTTATTAGATGAAATACACAGGAAACTGTGAGAAAACATCCATAATATTCAGGCACTGTTATACCCAGTTCGAGAGCCCCCAAAAGATCTACAGGAATCGACTCCGTTGCAAAACACATGAGGGTCTTTTTATTGTAAATTACAAGCTGCAGCTTGGGCCCACACAGCCCCACCGCCGAAGCGGTGGGAGCTGAGCGCGTGTGCCCAGGTTAGTTGGGTGATTTATAGATTCTGGTCCCTCCCAGCATACCCAAGGCAGGGGCAATTCCTGCCTGGCAAGCATCTATTGGTCAAAATGCTACATTTTGAATCGATTGGCTATAGGAAGGTTCCCAGGCCATTAATGACCAGGTGTCCCTCCCTAGGGGGATGGGCCAGTTTCCTAGCAGCCGTACGTCTAGTGGGTGGGGAAAGAATGCAGCGAGGTAGCTCTCCCCTCAGGGCATTACTAACTACTTTACTGCACCTAGGCACCTACTCTAGGTTTTAACGATAGTTGTCACTTTGGTCTCTCAGGCACAACCTGAAGTTCACTTAGTTTACAAATTTGGAATATTCAATAGCAACAGACACATGTTTTTTTTTGTTTTGTTTTGTTTTTGTTTTCTCATATGTTAAGTCTTACGGTTTATTTTTGGCCCTTTAAATTTTGGGGGGCTGTCTCACACAATTATACCACAAATTTTAGTCATGGTTACATGGACCCTACTCCTGTCCTTTCCCCAGCTGAACCCCTTCTTCTCAGCAACTGCTCCCCACCCTGACCTTCATGTCTACTTTCTGTGTGTGGACCACCAAGTTTAATCAGTTTCTTGCCCAAACACGGGTCAGGGCTTATTTAGTAGAGCAAGGGCAATGAATTAGGGTTTATCCCACTGAAGAGAAGGACGCCCAGCCCCAATAACAATCAATGGCCAACAGTCCCTCAAGGGCATGTGAGGACTTGTACAGTATACTCTCCCACACACAATGAAATGTGGAGGTGCCCAGTCTCATGGAAGTGCCTAATCTCGGGTAAGCCTTATGGAGGCAACCAGGGCAACATGAGTTCCATGGCTGTGACATGACCAAAAGACAGTTTTTAGCTCTGTATCTCCTGATCCTCATTCTTTTTTTTTAAAGTTCTTATATTGTTTTTACTTAAAAGAGAATTACATTACATGCCCCCTCCCTTTATCCCTCCAGCCCTCTAGGTCACCTTTCCTCAAACCCCTCCCATGTCTCCATCCCACTCTCAACTCTTTTTATTTTATTATTATGGCATACACATATGCTTGTGTGTATATGCGTGTGCAAAAAAATAGATATAAGCATGGCACGCTGATCCTGTTGTTTGTAGCTGTATGGCTTCAAGGGTGACCGCTTTGCATTGGGTAACCAGCACTGGATGAGGCTGAATTCCCTTCCCCGAGCAGTCTTTAGCTGCCTGTAGTTCTTTATCTCAGGGGGAGGAACCCCACAACTTATTCTCCTTTCATGTCAGCATTTCCGTTACATCGCCATTGTTCTGGTCCTTCTTATGCCGTCATTTCTAGGAGAGACTGTTTCATGGGAGACTTGCTGAGATTATGGCTCTTATGACCTTCCAGCGTCCAAAGATATGGGCGCTGTGATGTAGCTATATCTGTCAGGGCTGAGCTACCTACAATCTGCTAATCTCTGCATGCCCCATCATCGTCTACAATGTTCCCTGAACTTTGAAGGGGCGATATACTTGTCCCATTTGTACCTGAACACTCGATCACTATTTTAGGCAGTTATGGTCTACTTTATTAACCACTGCCAGTGTAGTAAGGAGGTTGGGTACAGCACTGAAATATGTATATAATCATGAGTACTTCATGTGCACTTAGCAAAACAGTAATATGAGGTTTTCCCGAGGGTCTATGACCTGCCCGGCCACTGGCTCCTAACCAGGTTGATAGTAGCAGAAATGTATCCCTTCGCATGAGACAGGCCTCAGTTCCGATAAGAAAATGATTGGTGGTTCACAAAACCACCATACCACTAATACAGTAGCTCATTGGATTCACCGTAGGATAAACTGTCAATGACTCTTCTCTCCAAATACGGCATGGAGCACTGTCTATCACTATCAAGTCTAGTCGGGAGGAAGGAAAATTCCAGAAAAGTTGCCACTTGATTTCTGTATGTCCAATGACCAAAGGGTGTGGTGTCTTCACCATCCGTTCATCTACTGATGGGCATCTAAGCTGATACCATTTCCTGGCTACTGTGACCAGAGAAGCAATAAACATGGAAGTGAAGAAATGTGTGTTGTGAGTTATGGAGTCCCTTAGCTACATGCCTAAGACTGGTAGAATTTTTCTGGTGGCTAACGATGGGGGACATATTTTACAATATTTATTAGTCATTTGTATTTCTTCATTGGCAAACTATCTGTTCCTTAAGCTAGTTTTTAAACAGGTTACTTATTTAGTTGATATCTAGATTTTAAGCTCTTTCCATATTCTAGAGTCTTATTTTCTGTCAGGTGTGTCAGGTTTAGAGATTCTCCCATTTTGTCGGCTTCCTTTGCAGTATAGACGCTTCCTAATGTCATGAATTTTCATTTGTTGGTTGTTAGCCTTATTTTCTGACTGAGGTCCATTTGAAAAGCCTACTCGTATCTTTAAGTGAACTCCCTAGATTACCTTCTGGTAATTTCAGATCTAACACTGAGGTCTTGGATCCTTTTGGAAATAACTGATCCAAGTACTATATTTGAATAGGCATGAAAAAATGGGCACCTTTGTTTTGTCCTTGTCATTAGTGGGACTGCTTCAAGTTTTTCTCCATTTAAGTATGCTTTTGGCTCCAGGTGGGTCATATGGAGCCGTTACTTAGTGGAGATGTCTGCCCTCTCCAGAGCTTTTATTATGAAAAGATGTAGGGTTTTGTCAAAGATTGGTCCTAATTTTTCTTTGAAGATCTGGTTGAACTGAAGCCATTTAGACCTCAGGGTTTTTTTGTTTTGTTTTGTTTTGTTTTGTTTTGTTTTGTTTTGTTTTTAAGTTGAGATTTATTTAAGTACTGGTTCCATTTTTATATTTGTTGTAGATCTTCTTGTATTATTTATTTCATCTTCATTTAATTTTGATATGTCATACCTATCAGGAAATTCATCTGGATTTTGTAGGTCAGTGGAATATAAAATTTTAAGGTATTTCTTTGTGATTTTTCTGGCTTTCATTGTTATAATGTCTCCCTTTCATCTCTAATTTTACTAATCTGGATCCTTTATTTGGGTTGATTTAGCTGAGATTTTTGCTTACCTTCTCAAAAACCCAAACTTTTGATTTTTGTTTTGTTTTGGTTTTGGTTTTGTTTTGTTTTTTTCATCTATTTCACTAATTTCTGTCCTGATCTTTGTTATTTATCCCCATCTAGTGATTTGGATTTGATTTCTTCTTGGTTTTCCAGCCTTAAGGTACACCATTAGGTCACTAGTTTCAGATTCTCCTTCCTCCATACCTGAGCTTTAAGGACTTCTCTCTTAGTACTGCTTTTATGGGTGTTACTGTTGTGTATTCATTTTTACACAATTCCAGAACTTGTTAAAATTTACTTTTTATTTCTTCATAAATCAGTAGTGTATTATTTACTCTGCATAAGTCTGTGTAGGTTCCATTGTTTCTTTTGTTGCTGAGTTGTAGTTAAAGTCTTAATACTCTGTGATTACACAGAATTTAAGGAATTACTTCAATTTTCCCATATCTCTTGAGATTTGTTTTGTGTCCTAATATGAGACTTAATTTAGACAAACTTTCACACATGTAGAGAAGCATGTGTATTTTGTAGTGTCTTGGTAGAATGCTCTGTAGTTGTCTGCGGAGTCCTTTTGAAGTAGAGTGTCATTTGATTCCATTGTCCCTCTGCTGAATTTTCCAGTGGTGACAGTGAGGTATTACAATCTCTGAATTTTACTGTGTTGTGATTTATGTCTCTAAGGTCAACTTGGGATCTATGGTGCCATTTAATGCCAGTGTTTCTCTGTTGAACTTCCTAATGGAGAGATGGGGATAGTCAAGTCCCCAACTACTTGATTTGTAATTAACCTGTGAGTGAAGATCTGGTTGTGCTGTTTTATAAAACCAGTTAAGCCTGT